TCTGCTTTTATAGAACCCTCCTTAATATTTCTTGCAGGGCCGGCTTAGTGGTCACATATTCCTTCAGTTTCTGCCGGTCTTGGAAGCTCTGCATCTCTCCATCCATTCTAAATGACAGCCTTGCTGGATGAAGTATTCTTGGCTGCATGTTCTTCTCGTTTAGTACCCTGAATATGTCTTGCCAGCCCTTTCTGGCTTGTCAGGTCTCTGTGGATAGGTCTGACATTATTCTGATGTTCCTCCCTCTGTACGTAAGGAACCTCTTCCCCCAACTACCTTTAGGATGGTTTTCTTGGTTCTAAGATTTGCGGTTTTACTATTACATGCTGGGGTGTTGGCCTGTTTTTCTTGATCTTGGGAGGGGTCTTCTCTGCCTCTAGGACAGGAATGTTTGTTTCATTGCCCAGATTAGGGAATTTCTCAGCTACGATTTGCTCAAATATATCTTCTGGTCCTCTTTCTCTCTCCACTTCCTCTGGGATTCCAATAATTCTGACATTGGAAGGCTTCATGGTGTCACTTATTTCTCTGGTTCTATTTTCATGGATTCTGAGTTATTTTTCCTGGCCTCCTCTTTTCCCTTTTTATCTATTAAATTGTCTTCCAGGTAGCTTATTCATTCTTCTGCCTCAGTTACCCTAGCTGTTAGATTATCTAGATTAGATTGGATCTCATTGATAGTATTTTTAAGTTCTGCCAATTCAGCTTTCACTTCTGCGCTTAGAGATTCTATGTTGCCATTAATTGATTTCTCCATTCTAGCCATTGTTTTCACAATTGCTAGCATGAATTCCATCTCTGACATATTGGTTATATCTGCATCCGTTTGTAAATCTGCTGCATAAGTCATAATCTCTGAGTCTTTTCTATTTTGGGGGTTCCTCCTCCTAGTCATTCTGTTGATGGGTGGTTGAGGGAAGGTATAGAGTCCAAATTATTGACCAGAACCCAAGCAAGATACACCTGTTTTCTAGGGACCTTAGGATTGCTGGCCTCTTGTTTTCCCAGCCTGTCTTCTGGGGGAGGGGCCTGACACGCTGTGAGTCAGGCAACCCCGTTTGGGCGGAGTTGCCCTGCCCCCCCCTGTGGTGGGGGATGGGCTCAGTGGAAACCGGTTTTGGGGGGCTTTTGTTCCCTGGTTGCTTTCCGTGTCTCTTCCACGAGTCAGAGCAGGAGATACCGTTTCCAACCCTCTGCCTCAGAGCAGAGAGATCAGTCTGTTCTTCAGTGAGCTCTCCAGCCACAGTCTCTCCATTTCTTTCTGTGCTGCTATAAACTACGGGGTCCTGGGTTGTGCGCCCCTCCGCAGCGCTCTGAGTCCTGCCTCCAGGTTGGGGCACGTCTCTGCCCTGTGTGCTTCTCAAACCGCAGCCGCTCCCAGTTTGCACGTGTGACCCCACCCGCTCCTGGTTTCCGTCAGGGGGGCTGCCCTGAAGTCCTTTCCCTGCTGCTACCTGGTCTGTGAGCCTGTGCCCGGTCCCCAGCACGCGAGGCTGTCGCTCACCGGCGGTGTAGGATCCTCACGGCCAGGCTCCCTCCCACTGCCGTTTATCCTCCAAAATCTGCCCGCAGAATCACTGCTCCCTGCTTGGTACCTCAAAACCTACTGCCCGCGATATTCCGTTTGTAGAGATCTGGCTCTATTTTCTTACATCTCAGGCTGATTTCGTGGGTGCTCAGAGTGGTCTGGTAGATATCCAGCTCAATTCCAGGGACCAGTTGGAATAGGGTCCCCTACTCCTCCGCCATCTTTTCTCTCTCTAGTACAGCTGGCCCTTGAACTAGGATTTGAACTGCATAGGCCCCCTCTACATGGACTTTTTAAGAAATGATACTGTAAATGTATTTTAAGATATTTTAAAAATTTTATTTATAGACAGACACACAGGGAGAGAGGGAACACAAGCAGGGGTAATGGGAGAGGGAGAAGCCGTGGGGCTTGATCCCAGAGCCTGAGTCGAAGGCAGACGCTTAACGACTGAGCCACCCAGGCGCCCCTCAACTGTAAATTTCTAATGAAAAAGTTATTTTCCCTCATAACTTGTATTTTATTATTTTTTTAAAAGATTTTGTTTAGTTGTCAGGAGAGAGACATCGAGAGAGGGAACACAGCAGGGGAAGTGGGAGAGGGAGAAACAGGCTTCCCACCAAGCAGGGAGCCCGATGCGGGGCTCAGTCCCAGGTCCCTGGGATCGTGACCTGAGCCGAAGGCAGACAGTTAACAACTAAGCCACCCAGGTGCCCCTATTTTAAGATTTCTTAACATTTTCTTTTTTCTAGCTTACTTTAAGAATGCAGTATGTAATACATGCAACATACAAAATATGTGTTGTTACTGATAAGGCTTCCATTTAAGAGTAGGCTGTCAGTAATTCAGTTTTTGGTGAGTCAAGTTACATGTGGATTTTCGACCGCATAGGGACTTGGCACCCTTACCCCCGACGTTCAACTGTACTTTAATGCTCAGTAGAAAAGTTAGGGGAAAACGTTAACAACCCTGTGGAAGATCCACATCCTTTAGCAAATGCAGATGTGGGTCATAGGAGAGGTGCTGGTGAGGATCAGAAGTCCACGTGAGGTGTGGTGAGGGTGCCAGTTACTGTCTCGGCTCCAGCCTGTCCTTCACTCGGCACACCTGTTCTGCTTTGTCAGCTGGCTCTGTTAGCTGATGAAGGATGCCAGATAGAAACTGCATACTGAAGAAGAAGAGGGACTCACGGACTCCTTCCCGTCTTCTCATTTCTCACAGCTTCATTCTGATGACGCTTCTTCATGCTGGCAGTGGCGGTTCTTCCCGAGAGTAGCAGCCAAACCCAGTTTGCAGTTTTTCCAGCACAGGCAGAACCAGGTACACTGTCAGCCCCAGCCACCACCCCACAGAACTCACTTCCTAGCCTAGAAATTCCAGCACTGGTCAGGTGGCAGCCTTTCCTAAGAGTCTGGTTTAATAATTCAATGGTGAACATCGTTCCCTCAGCCTATGATGGAAATGTTCTGGAGATAGTCCTAACAGCTGTGCAACCTCGTGAATAAATTAACCACTAAATTGTAAATGGTTAAAATGATAGATTTTATCCCAGTTTTGACATTTGTTATACTGGGTAGAGAAACTGCAATTTTGGTGAGCAATAGTAAAGATGTCACGAGAGCATTTTTTAAAAATTGTGGCAAAATATACACATAACCTACAGTTGACCATTTTTAGTTCAGTGGCACTGAGTACATTCATACTTTTATGCAATCATCCTCACCATGTCCATTTGCAAAGCTGAAACTACCCATTAAACAGTAATTCCCCCTTACCCTTTCCTCGTTCTGGCATCCACTATTCTTTCTGTCTGAATTTGACTAAAGTGGAACCACACTGTGTATGTCCTTTTGTGACTGGCTTACTTCACTTATCACGTCTTGAAAGTTCATCCATGTTGTGGTGTGAGTTAGAATTTCCTTCCTTCCCTAGGTTGAGGATTTCCTTGTATGTAAGTGCCATATTTCCTTTATCCATTCAGACACTCGGGTTGCTTCCACCTTTTGGCTATTATGAAGAATGCCAGTAAATGGGTGTACAAATATGTTTGTGTCTCTGTTTTTTTATTTTAGATGAAAAAGCTACGATAGGTTTTTGAAGGGAGTCTGTTAAAAATCAAATTCTTTTTTGAAAGTATCTTTTTTGCATTAGCTTAATTAAGGATTAAGAATTTAGTTGATACCCACCCAAAAGAGAACCCAAAGATCAGTGGTACTATTTGCTTTAAAGAAACACAAAAGACATAAAGGTATCCATTGCAAATTTATTATGCATTAGGAAGCTTAACTTAAAAACCAACAGCATAGTAAAAAGATATGTTATCTCTGTTCATAGCAGAACAGGTTTCAAAATATATTTTCTTTTAAATGTATTCAGTCAGTACACAATCCTTTTATAAAAGTTGTATATATATTTTTCTTTCAACACCTTCATTACATTTATAAATACAAGATTTACACAGCACCCCATCAAAAAAAATTTAAAACTCCTTACAAATATCTACATATATTTCATACCTATAAAACTTTCAGAGGAGTGCTCTGTTCAAGGTGGGTGGGGCCTAGTTAATGGTCGATTTACTGGTGCAGTAAAATACATATAAATCTGTAAAGTTTTCTGTCCATAGAACATCTCGAAAAATTAGCAATTGTGAAACTGAGCTTCCTAAACCACATTTTAGAAAAGAATCTGATGTGCATATTCCCATGAAATTCAAAAGTCAGATAAACAGATGGAAATAAAGACCCGACTGAAAACCGATGCATACAATAGAGCAGTTAAGGCAGGAGTGAGATGAATGAGAAAAATTGAGAAGACAGAAGATGCAGCAAGGAGTAGATGGTAATAATGTGTTCTAGGAGTCTGAACTTGGATATAAACTCCACTGGTATCCGGTCACTAATTCTCATCCTCACTTAGGAATATTTGTATTATTGAAAACTTTCTTAGAAGCTCCCTTCAAATTCTCTGTTGCTACCAGAATACTTGATGTGCGTTTTTCTTCTGTAAAATTACCTGGGATCTGACCAAAACACCAGGTCCAGCGATCTGAGTTGCTAGTTCTTCATAATTTAAATTTTTAAGGAAATTTTCCTTTTATCTAATAAAGGTTATCACTGATCATTATTAATGTCCAGAGGTGTATATGCTGAATTTCATTCTAGCCAAGGACAGGAAGGAGAGACAAGGAAAGGAGAGTAAGATTTGGGTTTTTGTTGACCTTTGAACAAAGGCAATAGATCCCTGATACTGAGTGACTGTTGGAGCGGCCACTCATGAACACCCGTGGGCTAAGCGGGCACAGATCAGAGAAACAGGAAGGAATAAGCAGGGACTTTTTACTTCAGATCTTGCCAGAGATGGCAGTCCACTCCCACCCTGCACCTTCCACTGAAAAGGAGTTGGAAAAACTGCTATCACTCTTCCTCCAGAGTTATTCAAGGAAAGCCATCCTACCAGAGGTAAGAAATCTTTCTATTTGAGTTTCAGAGTTTGGACTCCAGATGACTTTGAGAGTTGCAAAATTTGCAGGAAACTACTTCGAATATTGTTCTAATATACCACAAAAAGAAGGAAAGGAACAGGAGTGGGGGCGGGGGGGGAGGGATGGAGAGGGTCACTTCTCAAACCCGGCCCTGAAGGGTGCCACCAGCATCTCCCTTCCAGCACCATGGAGTCTCCGTGTGGTGTGGCTCCCACGGCTCTCAGAGAAGGCATCTGCAGAATCCCCCTTTCTGCCAGGTTCACAGCTCAGTGCACTGACTCCCAGACTCCTCGAAGGAAGAGAGCTCCCAGATGCTGCTGTCTTGCAACAGTGGCTCAATGTCCTCATCACTGGCCCGCTCTGGGGTGTTGGTCAGGCTGCCGCTGATGCTGTTGCTATGTTTTTGAAGTCCACTGCCTTTATGGTATTCAGGGATGAATAAGGCAACCAGGAAAGACATGAGAACTATACATGCCCCAAATAAAAATGGTGGGCCTGGGATGACAGCTCCCTGAGGGGCATGGGAAACAAATGGAGATAAAGGATTTGGTTAGTCTTCAAAATTAGCCCTGGACTCCCCCAAACCATCAAAAAGTAAATCATTTTCTCGTAAGCAAATGTTTCATTAAGTATCAAGGCAAATTCCCATAGAGCCTGTGTTTGGAATATGACAGAGGGCAACTAATCATTGTTCTCTGCACCACTTTTCAACAGCTTTTAAGTGTTAGTTGTGGGTCTCCAGTCCCCATCCTGTGACCTCACATCATGTGCTCTTGTTCAAGAACATTAAGAACAATTTTATACAGAAATTTACACTAAAGGAACGACTGAAGAAATGTAGTACAAAAAGCACTCTAGCTCAATTTGTAGCAGGGATCTAGGTCATTTCACATTTTATTTGGCCTTTGCTGGGCTTCACCAGAGGACAGGATTCTGATCAGAGTACTTGTGTAGGTAAAAATGGACTCTGAACAAAATTAAGACAGAGCTTTTTGCAGAAGCTACTACATCACTGAACTGATCCTTCCTCAATCCCAGGAAGCAGTGAACATAGCACATACAAGAGAAACATCATATGAACAAGAACATTCTCCAAATTGAAATTCAGATTTTGCTATCATCAGACATCAGACATATGGTTGTTAAAAAACTAGACTTATCACCAAATTACCTGCAGGGCAGCGTTGTCAGAATTCAATTCTGGTTCCAACTCAGTCAGTTCCACATGGAACATGTAGAATATGAAGCCATACAGTGCTGGCCCCAGGCCATTACACAGCCCTCTTATTCCAGTTATGATCCCCTGGGCAACTCCTACATGAGAATGAAGAGAACGGAGCCAGTCTTCTCAGAAAAGCATCTCAAGATTAGGGACTTAACAGTATTTTCTTACAAACTGTGATACTCTGCTCAGCTGGACTGAGTATGAGTAGTCTGTGCTAAGGGAAGTAGATTAGGGACTTCGCCCATCATAGTTCCATTCGGTGCACAAATATATTACGGGGTTTTACTATGCCCTGTTAATGTTGTCCTAACTCTCCCCTAAGATCTATAAGGAGATGAAATGACAGTGATGTTTGTGAAATCTCCTTTGGGGCTGAATTCCCCCCGTAACAGCTAGATCCTTCCTATAAATGGGGAATAAAAAAATGAAAAAAACTCTAATAATTATTTTCCATTTATAGGCAATTTCCACTTTTCTATGGAATGAGATTTTCCTCCTCTACTCATCTAATGGTCCTTTTACAGGAAAAATCTGCCCTTTGTCTCCTGGAGCCCTGTGTGTGAGTCCATAGCAGTCCCAAAGTTCTGTACTCGGGGCACATTCACACAGACTGCTCCTCATGGTGAGCTCCTCATGGTGACCTGCACTGAAAAATCCCAGAAGTACGAACTTCTAGATATCTCTGGTTTCTAATGTGGCAGATAAAATATTAGCTTGAATCATATGAAAATGGATGTTACCACAGTCAAAATCGTTCAAATATGATTCAACTTAATGTGTTCCAGTAATGTTGTACACTGACATTTAGAAACATCTGTATTAGAACATATAAGCATAATAGCCAAAGAGAATTCATGTCATGAAAGGCCAGATGGTGCCTGTCAGACGTCAAGGCAGGGCCCACAGCTGTCTCACTTCTACAGATGTAACACCTCCCCAAGGACACACAGCCAAGGGATTTCCCACAGGGTGACACAAAGAATCTGTGACACTTTAAAAATGGGTATGAATAAGATGGCTAATTTCTGATGTGGAAAAGTAGGTGCAATGAATTAATCTTTTCCAATCTAGTTTTTTATTAGAACTTTTAAAAAGGCTCTAATGAATTTAAAAGATTTTCCTTCTAAAATTCACTACTTCCTGACTACTTTAGGTGAGCCATTAACAGATGGAGAAGGAAAGGATTAATTCTGGCAGTGGGAACTGCCTGACAGAAGCCAGAGGTTCACGATGAGTCTAGATGGTAGAGTGCTAGTCTCCACGTGGTCGTCTCCATTTTAATTGTTTCCAAAGTACACATATTTACTTATCCCCTCAAAAAATCATTTCCTAATTTAAGCTAATGGACTTTGATTCCAAATTAAAGAAATTTTAGTAATTATGGTGATTAAATAAAGAACTCATTGCTTTACTAACCAGTCTTTCCTTATTTGACATTACATCTTAAAGTGATTCTGGTGGTAACACACACGAGAAGACTCAAAACTGAAGAGAGAAAATGGATAGTTTTGTTTTTTGTTTTTATTTTGGATAGTTCTATTTCTAATCCTCAGTATTCTGAAAGTCCAGAAGCAGGAGGGAAAAGAGAAAGCTGTAACCACATGGCTATCACCTGCTCCGTGACCTGGAGTATATCTTAGCTAAAGGAGGAAAACAGGAAGGGGACAGTGACCTCACCTTGCTGATCTGACTCTGCGTTCCGAGAGACGAGGGCGCTGACTGCTGGAAATGTGATGCTGGACATGGCGGCCACCGTCCCTGCTGCCCACATCATCCTGCAATGACAAGAGTGACTGCAGTCAGGTGGCAGGCCAGCCCTAAGGAGCTTACCGTTCAGAGTACAATCTGGCAGAACCACAAAAAGCTTTGTTTTCTCCTGTTAGGTTGTATTTATTTTTCCCTCTTTAAAAAATGGATTTTTTTTTTTTTTAACCTGGAAGGTCCTACATCATACTGTTAATAATGATTACTTCACAGCTGGGAAGATTTCATTATTTTATGTTACCTTCTTCGAAATCCATTCTTCCTCCTTGTTTGCCCATCACCATCTTTAAGATGTATAAGCTCAATGAAGTTCAAAAGGATTTGTTTCTATAAACACCACATCTTCCTCACTGATTTTCCACTTTTCTCTCTGTGCTTCTCACCTTTGCACTGCCCTCGGGCTGCTCAGTTTGCCACCCCTCAAGCAAGTGTCATGTGCCACCAACAGAAACAGAGACCTGAAGTTCAGGGTCACTATGAAAGGAACTAAAGTATGAAGCCATGAGTGAGCAAAGTGAGGCCCTAATCAGGCTGAAAACCTGTTTGGCCGGACTTTCCTTGGGGAGGCTAATGTGCACGTCCTTAACTGAAAAGAAAAACCCCTGCAGGTCAGCAAAATCTTTGAAACATAGCACAAGTATGACCGAATCAGCTACTGAACCAAAGTTCACAGGACCGGAATCTTCAAGAACAAGAAGAATCAACCATTGAACCACTGACCACATTTCTAGCTCCTCTAAGCATGTGTAAAGTGAGGATCAATTCTCGTATGTAAAATGGAGATAGAAAATCTGGTATTTGGTAAGCAGGCACATACATTTCCTCTTACTCCTCAGGGCTTATTTTGAATTTCCTTCCTGTTTATGGGCATCTAATGTGCTAGCAGTAATAACTGCCTCAGGGCACACATGGTTTTGGAGATATTTGTGTTCGTCTAACTCAGATGCTTAATGTTACAAAGGTTATGTCACTACCCAAAGTCACTCAGCTAATATTGGCAGTGAACCCCATCATACCCAGTCATTTTTTCTTGTCTTCTTGTGGACTATATGAGGTCACTAAAAATTGACAAATATGTTTAAAAAGCAAACGTAAAACTTTTTTGAGGCGTTGGAGGAGGCACACACATCCAGTTAAATAAGAACTTCACCGCTGAGGCAAAGGCAATTTAACAAAAATCTGAGAGTACTTACCCTCCGTCCTTCCCCACATTAAGTCTAAACATCCTTTCTGAAATACTGAGGACACCAAACCCGCAAAGTAACCCTTGCTTCCTTCACATCACATCCAGCCAACTCAAGTTCTAGAAGATGCTTCCGTCTGTTAGTTTACCCTCGAGGATCCAAAGGAGAGGCTTACCAGGCCTGAGATCCGAAACCATACCAGGCTAACTGGAACATCTGAAAGCCCAAGCCTAGGAGGACAGTATTCTTATTCCCTAATGATCTCATCAGGATGGTAAGAAAGACTGTCTGTAAAACAAAGGAGATAGTCTTGAGAAACCATGTGAGTGCACAGATCTGATGCCAGCTTGATGAGGGGAGCCCATTTACAATGACCAAGGGCCTCTACAGGTACACAGTCTGGCCTGAGAGCGGGGAAGCCACGCAGTACTGACGGAGCTTTCGAGTCGAGCTGTGGAGGTTCCGAGGCTAACCTGGGGCTCAGGGCCTTCAGAGCCCTCCCCAAAGCCTGTTTATCTAATGCTTTGCTAGCACTTTCCAAAGGTCATCATAGCTGTTCACCAATTAATCGTGATTGAGAAGCACATGACTCAGATACTTTGGAGAAATGCCAATCACTTCACCACCAGGGAAGAGCAAACCCCTGCTGAACATTTACAGACTATGTGGGATTCTGCTGGAAGTTCACGGTGTCAGAAAGTTGGACTAATATAAATTTGACTTTAACAGATATATAGTCTGCTAAACGACTAGCTCAGATAGTCTATAAAGGCAGAGGATAAGAGAGTTTTGGCTAACCGACTCACCAGAGTTGCTATAAATGCAAACCAAAATCATGAGCAACTTGAAAGTTCAACATAATTTACATTCACTAAAAAGTTCGGTAAGAAAAAATAAAAGGCTTTTTTGCCTTGATGCAGTCCTTTGAGCCTTGTCAGTTCTAACATTTGGGCAAAACAGTCTCATAGCCTTCTTGTTTCTCCTTTTAAAGAGCACTCTGCTGGGCCCCATGCTATAAAGCAGCATGAAGCCGTTTCAGGGAGTAGCCTCTAGGCAGTTCCATGTGATACTGTGAATACACCCAGGCATGTCAGTGAGTTCATTTAAAGGTCATATACCCTGCCTTTTGTGGTCCTATAATGGGTGGGGAAATGTTTACTCATTTCATATGTTCTAATGCACTCATTACCACACCTCTTCAGTCCTGGGGATAGCAGGGTTTGGAACAGTTACTGATTTCATTTCTGTTTTCCACTGCTACTAAACTTTCCTCATTAACCAGGAGAGTGCTTCTTTATTTTAAGCTTATTTTGCAGTATATGGAGTTAGACTATTGGTGGTTGTAAAAGCAAATTGTTATTTGCTGAACCGACCAGTAGAGGTAACAGGTATCCTAAAAAGTACTGAAAAGATGTATTAAATCCCTCCTAAATTATAATCTCAACATTCTATTAAAAATGATGGTTCTGGGGTGCCTGGGTGGCTCAGTCGGTTGAGCATCCAACTCTTGATTTTGGCTCAAGTCATTTTTGGTGTCATGAGATCGAGCCCTGTGCTGGGCTCTGAGCTCAGTGTGGAGTCTGTCAGAGATTCTCTCTACCTCTGCCCACCCCCCCCCACCCCCGGCTGCCTCTCTCTCAAAAAAAACAAAAAAAAGATGGTTCTGTAGACTGTATCCATGCCTGTTTACTGGGTCTGATATTGTACCACAGATATAAGAGATGTTACCATGGCAGGGGAGGAGAGGGGTACTGACAGAGGGGTGCAGGGGTTCCCCATGAACATTTATTTCTTTGCAGTTTCCTGTAAATCTAGTTATTTCCGAATAAAAATGATAAAGAAAAAATGGATGAAATGACACTCACCTGAGCCACAATAGAGAGAATTCCTACCATAGCTATGAATGCCGCAATCTTAACAGATCCAAAACCTATGACCTGTGGAAATGGAAAGAAAACACTTTATAGATATTATAAAAAATAATCCCCATCTCCAACCCACCAAGAGACAAATATCACCAAACACTAGAGAGAACATGAAGAAAATGATCTGACTTTTGGTGCTACCAACAGAGAATCTGCTCATTAGCCAAGTCAGTGGCTCTCAACCTTGGCTGCACATTAAAATCATGTGGGCAACAGAGAAGGGGAGGGGGGTAAGCACTGAAATGCTGTAACCCACTTGAGACTAATTAAATTCAGACTCTCTGGGCCCAGGCACAGGCATGTTTTAAAAAGCTTCCATGGTGATTTGAGAAGCAAAGTGAGCTGGCAATAATTTCTAAGCCTCTCAACCTTAACAGAAGCTCTGAAAGGCCTAAAACTTTAGGTTTTAAATATCAAGTTTTTATTTTTATTTATTTATTTATTTTTAAAGATTTTATTTATTTATTAGAGAGAGAATGAGAGATAGAGAGCACGAGAGGGAAGAGGCTCAGAGGGAGAAGCAGACTCCCCGCCGAGCAGGGAGCCCGATGCGGGACTTGATCCCGGGACTCCAGGATCATGACCTGAGCTGAAGGCAGTCGCTTAACCAACTGAGCCACCCAGGCGCCCTAAATATCAAGTTTTTAAAAAGTCAAATATTTTTGCCTTCTTTTGAAATCCTATAAAAATCAGGAAAAGGACTTAAAAATTATTGTATGCATTCTATTCATTTAATAAATGATTGTCTTTCTTCTAGTCACACAACTAGCTAATAATCTTTTTTTTTTAAAGATTTTATTTGACAGAGAGAGCGAGAGCACAAGCAGGGTGAGTGGGAGAGGGAGAAGCAGGCTCCCCGCTGAGCAAGGAGCCCAATGTGGGGCTCGATCCCAGGACCCTGAGACCATGACCTGAGCCGAAGGCAGATGCTTAACGACTGAGCCACCCCAGGCACCCCTATAACTAGCTAATAAAAGAGCTAGAATCTCAGGTTCCCAAGTCAGTGCTGCTGACAAATAGCCTATTACTTGCTAATGAAACCCAACTAAGAAAAATTGGAACCTGAAAAGTAGCCTTATTTCTCAGCCTGTATTTGTAAATATAAACATATACATATTTAAAGCAGCTTTATGAAGAAAGAACTTAAGTATCCTACAATTCACCCATTAGAAGTATACAATTCGGTGGTTTGAGAATATTCACAGAGTTGGGCAACCATCACCACAGTCAATTGTAGAAAATGTCATCACTCCTCAAAGAAACATGGTACCCCATCAGGAGTCCCATTCCTCCAGCCTGTTCCTCTGTCCGGCCAGTGATACACTTCCCTGTCTCTGCCTTTGTTTTTTCTGAGCCTTTCATATAAATGGAATCAAACAGTATATGGTCCTAGTTTCTTTCATTTAGCATCTTTGACAGGTTGTCCATGCTGCAGCAGGTACCGGCACTTCACTGCTTTTTATTGCCAAACAGTAACATCCTGCCATACAGATCATTTGTCAATACATTTCATCAGCTGTTTCTCCTTTTTGGCTATTATAAATACTTGTATAAAAGTTTCTGCGTAGACATGCATTTTCATTTCTCTTGGCTACTTACGTAGTAATAGATTTGCTGGAAACCCTAGTTTGAACACTTGAGGGACTGCCCAACTCTCTCCCACCCCATTTTACATCCCCACCGGCCATGGGTGAGAGTTTGCCTTTCCCCACACCTTTGTCTGTCTGTGATTACAGCCGTCTTATTTAGCAGGTGTGAAGAAGCACCTCGCACCTCGTTTTGATTTGCATTTCCTTGATGGCTAATGTTAAGCACCTTTTCATGTGCTTCCTTGGACGGCTATCTATTCAATCTTTTTCTGAATTTTTTCAATTCAAAGAATTCAAAGAATACTGTCTTTTTATTCACTTACAAAAGTTAATACTTGATACAAGTTCCTTATCACATATATGATTTACAAATACCAATTTTAACTCAAATGTGTGTGTGTGAACTGCTCTTAAAAGCACAAATATAGAACAACCGAAAATGATTCTGATTAACTGTTAAGTGCTGGTGCGCTAAGCAATACGTACAGGAAAAAAGGGTAGAAAAAGAAAATATCCATAGTTGTTTTTTCTGAAGGAATGAGAGGATTTTTCACTTCCCTAAGCTTTCCCATTTTTCCTACATTAAATGCAGTTAATTTAATGCATAATTTAATTACAAACGCACATATAATTTTCTACATTAAACGTGCTACCTCACCAGTCTTCCCACTAAATCTCCAGCATCTGCCCACCCCAGATGAGCAAAACTGAAAAAGGACTGGTTGAAAAACAGTTTTACTTACATGCCACCATATAAAATATTAGTCTCACACTTTCAGGAAAATTGTGAGATTGGTGAATTTAACAAGTTTCAATTAAAAATATCCCCAGAAATAGAGGAATTTATCTTAGGAGGAGGCCTGCTCTGCCACGTGGAGTAAGCCCCGAGAAGGACTTCCAGGGAAATCAGTAAAAGACCAGGGCAGGATTGCTATGGAAGGACCTCATGTCTCTGCAACCCCAGAGAAACTGAAACAACAGTTGGAAAGGGAGTTTGTTCTGAAACTGCCTTAAGTCAGCTGCCTTGATTATTGCTTGTGAGCCCCCTTGAAGTCTACAGCAGCACTGAGTTATATGGCCTACTGAAGATGTCCCAGGTCAGGTCCCATCAAACAAACTGGACCTCTCTCTGAAATTTAATGAAGATTTAAAACATTATGATAAACTTTGTTTATGCTAATTCTCAAGGAAATTTTTCCCAGATTAAACATTTTACAATATTTTAAAATATCGTATTACAGGTCCCCCGACTTCTAATCATATGTCAGCGCCTATACTTACTATAACTAGAAGCAACTCCACACATTTTTTTTCTCTATATACCATTTTCCCCACAATACTTTTCAACAGATCCTAACCTTTGGTTTTCTTCATGTTCTAAACCTACTAGTCACACATTACCCACCTGTCTGAGATAGAGAAAAAAACTTGAATACTGTCCAGCTTCAGGAAGGTATGAAAGAAACACAGTGATGCAAATTAATAAGACGGTAGAATCTTTTCCAACTTTCTTCAGTGACTAGGAATAAGCAGAAAGAGAAACATGTAAAAAGCAGGCGACAATGAAGTCACTGATATTCCAGGATATTGGCTTCGTTGTTTTGTTCTGTTAAGGTGAATTATAAAAGTTGAAGGGACTACAAAAGTAGGTAAACGTTAACTCTATGGTTACAAGTCCTCTATGTTTAAAGTATTACAGCTTAAAACCAAAACAAGTTTCCCCCACAAATACTTGCTCATCTTTGTTAACCATACTGGTTCACATCCTATGAACAGACCCTGAAAAAACATTGTTCCAGAACCTTTTAAGAAAATCTCATCTTTCATTCATAATATAACCCTTTTAAACCCATAAAGAGTTCAGGGTTTTTACAATATATAAATTTACTATATTCTTTAAGATGTTAATAATATTCAATTTGCCTGTAAAACTGGTAGACAAATAAGTACGCTCCAGTCATGGGGTCAGTGACAAGATTCTCTAACCAGTAACTTTTGAATGTTACAACTTTGTCTAAAAGTCCTTCTTACATTCCTTTTTACACAGAATTGCTGAGAAGACCAAAAGGTGTGTTGTTTTCTAAGGACTGGGGAGTGCTTCAATGCATCCTAGGGTCACCGTAATTGTAACCTTCATGTGTGAACAGCAAAAGCATCTCACATCTATGGGGACTGGCTGCCTGCGGTAGGCCTGGAAGAGTACACGGCAGCAGTCGGAGTTTCCATGCATAACTTGATCACTACATGACAAGAAAGTGGGAGGCCTGACGGGCCCCTGGGTCCACGCCTGGGTTCCTTCTCCAAGCACCTCCTTCTCAATGTCTGACATCGTGGCACAAACAAAACGAGCAGGGTCCCCAGGTCATGACCTGAGGGATCTTTCTGGAAAAGAATTTGATGAGTTATTTTTCTTTTACACATTTTTCCTAAAAGGTGTTTAAAAACAGCAATCAAATCTCTGGTTATTTTTTTCTGCACATATTTTCTTCAAGAACAATTTCAAGTCTATAGATAAAGTGGGAAAAGGGGAGGGATAAGATTCTTCCTGTCAGTACTTTTTGTTAATAGACTCCTTCCAAAAAAAAATTAAAAATGCCAAAAATTTTAAAAAGTTACAGGAAACAATCCATTCAACCTGCAAAATAACAAGTTCAAAGCCTCTGGTCAAAGTGGATGTATATTAACAACCTAGAAAATAACTAGTCAGACTAAATGTATTCATCTTTTCTGAATTTAACTGAATGAAAATGAACACTTCAAACAGCCACCTTCGTTTTGTTTACAAAAAAAAAAAAAAAATGAAAACCACCATGCAATAAGAAAAAAACAACTTCCTTCCTAAACCCTCATCAGGGATTAAGTGGACCTTTTTTCTCTCTTTCCTTAGGATACCTACCACCCACCTGACTTAAAAATAAATTCTAGGGGTGCCTGGGTGGCTCAGTCGGGTAAGTGTCTGACTCATGAGATTGAGCCCCGAGTTGAGCTCCACGCTGGGCATGGGACACCTAAGATTCTCTCACTTTCCCTCTGCCCATCCCTCTCTTCCTCCCTCATAAAAAAAATTAAAGGAAAGAAATATAAATTCTATATATTCCTTGGTGCACAGACACCTTCAGGCCTTATGTGCAATTAAATTTTTGTTTTTATTTCTACTGGAGAAAGAAATGGATATTTACCGCAAAAGGGTCTGCTTGTTTCCAAGAAATCTTAGCTCCCCAGGAAAGTGGTCTCATTTTCTCTGGCAGAGATTCTGGAACAGCCAGTAAGATGAAGCAGATGTCCAGAAGAGCCACCACTGTGGCCACCAGCACAACGAGGCGGTCTCCGTAACTGGCTGAAAGGTATGCTCCAATGGCTGGGCTGCTGACCAGACTGGCTGCAAAGGTGGCTGAGACCTGTGGAAGAGCACTCTCTCACCCAGGGTCCCATCCTTTACCACATGCACATGCAGAAAGCGCACACTCACTCAGCCCCACCTGCTACAGGTGCACACCTGTGTTCCTGCTTCTTACACAGGGTCCCACAGATATGTACCTACAGCCATCCCTCCCTGGCTTTAAACAAAAGGAACGTATTGCACGTACATTTTAAAAATGAAAGAGAAAGTCATTTCCTTTTAAGGACTTGTTCCCAAACTATGAACTAAATGGAGATATCCTGAAATGCTACGAGTAAAAAATGATCTTATTAGAAATAAAAATTGAGAAAAACTTCCCCATGAATAAAACATACACACTTTAGTTTTCTTTAATTGGAAAACAAGGATGTGGGGAGAAGGGCATGAAAAAACAATGTCTGCAGGGCTAATGGTAAACCCTACAAATTACTCAGGGACTGTGCTGATTTCATAATCTAAAAACATGCACTGTTTTACTATTTCATTATTGGTGACCATTGCATTAGCACAGAGAAGGGAAAAAGAAAATCCCTGGTATTCTTAGAGAAAAAGCTGTAACAACAACAAAGATGTGTTGAGAGACAGTTGAAGCTTTTTACCTCGAGATCCCTGGGCTGTTATTTTCTGTCACTCCCAACCTCCATTCTATACCAGAGACCATACAACTGATCACATTTGCACCTGAATCTATGTGGAACCTCTTCACATGGTTTTCCTAATGTAGAGCGCCTCCTTTATCTTGGAATGTAATCTGAATGTTCAGAAGCTTAAATGGACAGTCTCCAAATTATAACCAGATTGAATGCCAAAAATAGACTTAATAAACTGGTTATCTAAACTTCTGATGGATTTTAAAAGAAACCACTGAAATCATTACCTATGGTTAAAATTATGACAACACCTGGTTAGCCAATGATATTCTCCCTTCACCCAGCACCCGCAAACCAATGTGAAAATACAATATATCTGATATTAGTATTATACTAAAAATACTATAGAAGCCGAAAGTCCAATAAAAACTAGGGGAGAAAAGGAGGCGTAGAGAATTCCAACTTGTCTTGGTTCAGTATTTACTTAGTACCCACTCTGCACTTGATGAATAAGAAGACAGCTCCTGCCCTTCAGGTTTTTCCGTATTATTTGAAAAGATAAAGGAAGTCACATAAGTCACATTATAAATTGCAGTGACATGCAGGCAGCTATGGGAGCACTGCCACGGGGTCGTCCAGCGCCTAACCACCTCATTTCTGCACAAAATGGGTCAATAAGTCATTTATTCATAAGTTTTTCATTTCCTTAATCTTCACATTTCTGTATTGTAAACAAGATTACTAGTCAATGTACAAATAAACAGCAACAGAAAAGTTAAATAACTCAAGTTCATATGATGAACAGGAATGAGAAGCCATTTTCTAATCTCGAAAATAATCTTTCCCACCAAAATGTACAGTTAGACTTACAGCTGCTTAATTTCAGCTGAAACTGGTTTTTATAATCCCACAGCATTCGAAGTCTAAAGGATCTAATAATCACTTGAGTTTAAGTAATTTATTTCATTATTTGTCAAAATGGCATTTCTAAATCTACCATCGTAATTGTCTTCTAGCCAAATGGACATTTTATAAAACAAAAATTTTTCAGTAACTCAAGATTCAGTCATTACAGATGATGGAATTAAATTTATTATTCCAGAAAAATGATTTAATATATAAGAATACATTTGATCCATGAGTTTTGAATGGAAAATGACTGCATTCTCCTAAGCTCCCCCTCAGAAAATTTTGGAAGGGATACAGTAGCTACTTCGGATGTAATGAGATTAATGCTCATTAATAAGTAATGCATGCACTCCAAACCATGGTAAACTTTTTAATTCATCTTTCCCATCCATGTGATGCACCCTGCAACACTGCTCTGAGAAAGAAGTGCTCTGTTTTCTAGTATTTCCATAATTTATTTGTAAACTGCTACAGAGAAAACCTGAAATTGGCATAGGCAGAAATCTTAATGAGAATCTTTCTTTTAAGCTTTCAAAACAGAGGTTAAGAAATGAGTTTAGGGGGCACCTGGATGGCTCAGTCGGTTAAGTGTCTGACTCTTGATTTCAGCTCAGGTCATGATCTCAGGGTCGTGATATCGAGCCCTGCGTGGGGCTCCTTGCTCAGCGGGGAGTCTGCTTCTCTCTCTCTCCCTCTCCCCCTCTCGTCCTCTCTCTCTCTAAAATAAATCTTAAAAAAAAAAAAAAAGACATGAGTTTAGGACTTCAGAGTCTATGTATCTGAAGAGCTGAAAGCCCCATAAATGACTCAGACAGCAGGGCAAGTGTTCTCCGACACAGAGGGGCAGGCCTACCAGTCCTAACGCATCCCTGATTCGTTAGGTCCCTCAGCGCTCAGGACTCCCTCCTCCCATCAACCCCGCTGCTGCTGTGCACCTATATTTTTTCCTCCGTGGGAGACCGAACCAGTTGAGAGATCAGTTTCTTCAAGTATGTGAAAAATAAATGTAGAGATGTATTTCATAGTGAAAAACAGTTAAGAATTTAGTGTGAAAATCTCTATGTAATAATAGTGAATATTCTGAGAGCCAATTTAATCACGTGGAATATGGAAAGAAAAGTAAAAAGCTAGTTGCCAAGTTACAAGTATCAGAAAGGGTGGAGAACAGCCGCAGTTCCCTAAATTGTTTCATCCGATCAGTTCTGTTCCTCCCCAACAGCCGAGGCTCAATACTTGCTGGATGACTGAGTTTCTGGGATCTATGACCCCATGAACTTCTATATAAAATGTATCTTTCTTAAAACTCAGAGCAGCACTGTTGCTTAGTTTGCGTATTTATCTAAATCCCTAATTCACCTCACGCGCGCGCAGCACGGCTCTGGTAAATAAATCTAAAGGGTAACTTCACCACAACAATCTCTCAGCATTAACTCAGTTAATAGGACTACTCCTTGCTGCAGCCCTGAAAGAGCTGCCACCTTCTTGGCGCAGTGGAGGAGTTTCATTAAGGAAGGAAGGTGTACATACTTTGTACATTCTTTAACGGCTCTAAAACCCCAGCTAGACTTGATGGACAATCTTGTAAATAACTGGCAGTAAATCCTCCTCTAAGATACGCAGCCTGCAAGCTTTTTTCCTTTCCTTTTTTTTTTTTAGCTCTGTCATCTTCACATCTGACACGTTAGGGCACACGTAAAGGCCACTGGCCAACACCCTGACTCTCGTGACCAAGTCCTGGCACCTTACCTGCCGGCCGCCAGCACAGTCAGCTCTCTCCCTCGCACTCCCCTCGGCAGCCCGATGACGCCGGAAGCACGACTGCCATTTCACAGCTGAGGTGTGCTGGCAAGGGCGGCGAGGTCTCCTCTTTCTCGGAAATCTGTCCTCAAAGTGTGAATACTCGGCGCAACAGCTTTGTGAGTGTTTGTTTTTTTGTTTGTTTTGTTTTGGCCGAAAGCAAAAATTTTTTTAAAACTGGAGGGGAATTAATATCTCAATGGGTATTTCCCGTCATGTACAGAAAGCTGCACAAATGTGGTACGTGAGGCTTCCGACTGACTGTTAGGAGCCACCCTGCACGCCCCTGCCTCCTTCGAAGGCTCCCTAGAGCCCTCCCTCTGTCCTGTTCCACGGCACCTGGGGATGGCGGGTGCAGACGGTCTTCGGGTGTGCTGTGGGGGACGTTCAGGGTGGGAGGGAAGATGAACGGGGGGGAAAGCGGGCAGGAGGTAGAGGGGAAGTAATGTTGAAGAAGTTGTTTTTAAACTAATGTCTAAAGTCAACAAAGTGAAAGCTGCTGGTGTGTTTTATGGAACAGCAACAACTGATCTTTGTGCAGTTATGACTCCTTCCTATCTTCCAGGAAGTAGGATTTAGAGGGAAGAGAGAGGCTTGGGAAAAGAGATAAGTAACCTGGGTTTCTGGCCTTTGGTCCTCCTCCAACCTGTTCAACAACCCAGCCAGAGTTTTCTTCTTCTTCCACCTTTCCTCACTGTAAACATTTTCCAACACAGGAAGTTGAAAGAAGACGAGCACAGTGCATGCTGAGGGGAGAATGCAGCACCCCAACTATACCCCTTTGCACGTAGACTGTTACGGTTGAAGGCAATTAAGGCCCAGCGCACTCAGGGAAAGCTTTTTTGCCTCTCTTTCAGAGCCTAAAAGAATTTAGATGGGGGCCTGTATCAGGAAGGGAGCTATCGCCAGAGATAACTTTTTCTATCAGAAAGATTTATTTGCATGGCATGGCAAACATTTATTTGCCAAACATTTGCTCTTCTCATCTTCCTGTGAACGGCTTTCCTCCCCTATGAAGTCCCAGACCCCTACCTCCTTTTTCCTTAGCTTAGGATGGCATATAAGCTTCAACTGTCCAAATGCGTTTGGGTCTCTCAGGTCTTTGTGGAGCTCTGTACAAAATTAAATATTTCCCTCCTGTTAATCTGTCTTATGTCAATTTAATTATTATTAGGGTAGCCAAAGAACCTAGAAGGGAAGAAGGGAAAATTTTCCCCCTCAACAACACCCACGTGACTCAGCAACTTCACGCCTTGGACACATACCCACAGACTGCTCACATGGCATCGCCCCGCCCCCCAAAACAACTTATAGTCATGACACACTGACCTCAAGGGCTTCAGCCTGCCATCCTGTACAAGTCTTTCTTCCCCAACAGAACCACAAAGCCATAGTTACACCTCAGAAAATTAGAAATGATTTTCTAATACTCGATGATCCAAAACAAGGTCTCCTATAACTTTTGTTATGCACTCAAAAATTAATTGCCAAATAAATGTAGTCCTTCTTCTACAGTACCATGTCCCAAATAAGTGCCTGAGATACACAACCAGCAATACAGTAACAGTGGATTAACAGGGCTGAGGGGCAGTACCTTTCCACTATGAATGAGGTGCACAGGGACTTCTGTGCTTAGCACCTGTTTACTGTTTATGGTTCCTCAAGAGATAAGCTAATATGAAACAAATCAAATCAACTTTTGAAACAGTTTTGCAGCTGACAACTCACCCTAAAACCAGAGGATACATTACTAGTAATTTCCATCTTACTATTTTAAACTTCATAAATCTCCTTTTCTGATTTCAGTTGCTTTAGATTTTCTCTTATGTAAGGTCAGTATTTATAATTTATTTTAAATCTTACTTTCCAGTACATTTTTAAATAGAACCCTAATTACTTCTCTGGTTAAAAAACATAAACTATAATCTTACCCATCCATAAGCAGTACTTCGCTCGTGTTCTTGAGTGACATCAGCTACATAGGCAAATATCACAGAGAACGTGACCGAGAAGACTCCAGACACAGAAATCATCGCAAAGTACCACCTATAAAATGATTATTTTAATTACCCGGGGGAGAGGTAGTGTGCATACACTTTTATAACCAGAGCCAAAGATTATCATGTAAAAATTATAAACCAAGAAATAAATTTAAAAACAAATACATGTATATGTATATTTAAAGATAGAACGGACAACTAATAAAATGATAACCAAGATGGGGAAGAAGAAACACACCAAGTCTGTAATTGCTTAAAGGGTGTCAGTACATGCAGTTGAAAAAAATGGAAGAATAAGGGGATTAAGTAAAGATACAGTTTTAAAGGCAGCCAACAGAAGAGAAAAACTTAAAATTTCCTAGCTTTAGCTAAGAAAAAGACACATATAGCAAATAACTTTAAAAGAAGTACAGGGGTGCCTGGGTGGCTCAGCTGGTTAAGTGTCTGCCTTCGGCTCAGATCATGATCTCAGGGTCCTGGGACTGAGCCCCATGTGGCGCCCCCTGCTCAGGGGAGTCTAACTCTCCTCTCCCTCTGCCCTTCCCCCGGCCCTTGCGTGCACACGTGCTCATGCTCACTCTCAAATATGTAAAATCTTAAAAATAAAGAGCTACACAAAAGCAGAAATCACAACAAAAAATATTATTGTATTTAAAACTAAAACTTCAATCATATGCACAGGTGCTTTAAAAAAAAATCTAGTTAAGATACTACCAAACAAAATTCCACAGAACAAAAAATAGGGTTTATCCTAGGACATAAGGATATTTCACTTTTAGAAAATCTATTAATATAATTCTTCATAGTAACATATTTTTCTTAAGATTTTATTTATTTATTTATTTGACAGACACAGCGAGAGAGGGAACACAAGTAGGGGGAGTGGGAGAGGGAGAAGCAGGCTTCCCTCTGAGCAGGGAGCCCGATGCGGGGCTCAATCCCAGGACCCTGGGATCATGACCCGAGCCAAAGGCAGACGCTTAACGACTAAGCCACCCAGGTGCCCCTTGTAACACAGTTATTTTTCAATGCAAAAGCTACCTTAACACTCGAATGATGAAAAATCACAACATTCCCTTTATATACATGAGATGTTAAGTCCATTATCACTTATATCAATATAAGCAAAAGCAACAGCATGAAAATTGGAAGGGAAGAGGCAAAATCATTTCAAAATCTGAAGAAAAAATAAGATATTGAGAGGACATTAAAAAAAAAAGCCCTCATTTATTTGAAAAGCATGACTTGTTCTTGGAAAGACTGAATACCAAAAAGTATTTGATAAAACATCATCTGGTAGAAAATAAAATGATCCACTATGGGTAACCAACATATTTACAATGTAACAAATATTGACATGAAATTATCAGATAATCAAATGACATTTTCACATGAGCCAAAAAAGAAATATTAATGTATTAAAACATACACAGACACACAAAAAAACCTTCCATTTTAAGGTGTGTTCTTCACACCTTAGGACGAGCATCTCAGCAACAGAAATTTTGGCCACATACCATCTTCTGGAATCAAGAAAAACAACTAAGGTACAGATGAGGTGCAAATTCCAAACCATCTTTGGTACTTGGTTATATGTTAAATATTCTCTCCCTATTTATCATGAAAAAATAAGATCAAATTCAAATTCATATTATGATTTAGACAGAACAGGCTCTTAGGCTCTATTGATGTAAACTCTGTTCATCCGGTACCCTAGAGCAGTGAGATGACAACACACCTGTAGTCAACTGAGCCGCAGGGGTGAGCACAGGGACCGTCACCCCCTCCCAGGACCCAATCCTTTAACTGACCTGATGGCAACTACAGCTGCCCTTAGAGATATCTTTAAACATCTTAGAACCCAAACTAGCTTTCAGTATTACCAAAAGAAATCAAATAAACATACAGCTATCGACCGCTTTGAAATGGTTAAGATATGCTCTGCAGATGTATTATTCACATGTGACCCAATATAGGCAGTCATGATGGTATAGGGCCAAGCCACTCACCAAGGGCTGATCCTCATCAGTGGAATTGGGAAGCAGGTGAAGAACACAGTGCCAAGGAGAAAGGGTTTCCTCCCCCACACATCAGACAGAGCGCCTATGAGGGGGGCACTCAGAAAAGACAGCAGGCCCTGCAGAGGAAAGCAGCAACAAAGTTCAAATTTACATCGTGGTCCCCCAATCACTTGTAATTTTTCCGTTCTAAATGCTCCAATTTCTTTTACTGGCCCCCAAACAGAATAATTTGAAGCATTAAATACAAACTGTCATTTAAAAACATTCTAATGAAATAAGTCAAGCAGAGAAAGACAATTATCATATGGTTTCACTCAGATGTGGAACATAAGGAATAGTGCGGAGGACCACAGGGGAAGGGAGGGAAAACTGAAGGGGGGAAATCGGAGGGAGAGACGAACCATGAGAGACTGTGGACTCCGGGAAGTAATCTGACGGTTTCGAGGGGAGAGGGGTGGGGGTGATGGGCATTAAGGAGGGCACATGTTGTGATTATGCAACTATTGAATCACCGAACACTACATCAAACACTAATGATGTGGGTGCCTGGGTGGCTCAGTCAGTTAAGCGTCAGACCCTTGGTTGCAGCCTGTATCATGATTCTGGGATCGTGAGATTGAGCCCCGCATCAGGCTCTACGTTCTGAGCAGGGTCTACTTCAGATTCTCTTCCTCTTCCTCCCTTCTGCTCCTCCCCCTCACTCACGCTTTTCTAAAATAATAATAAAAATTCTTTAAAACCATGCCGTGGTCTCCACTGCGCAGTTTAAATTTTTCAGCGGGTACTTACGGGTAAAATAATGAGTTTCTGAACTTTGCTTTTATTAAAAAAATGGGTGGGGAAAACAGAGGAGACAAGAGTAGGAAAATGTTGATAAATAATGAAACTGGGTGCTAAGTACATGGGTGTCCATTACATTTTCTACTGTCGTGTATCTGAAATTGCTCAGCAGTGCACACCAACAGTACCCTCCAAGATCCGGCACCTAACACACATCCTATGCTTTGGCTTTATGTAGAACTTAGCTTTCTGAGCACACTCGTTTCCTTTTGGCCAGCGGGCCTTCGCTGTGCCTGCGTACACCTCCCACACGCAGACTGGGTACACTACTGGTCCTTCTGCCCACCTCCGGGGTGAGCACTTCCTCCTCTCTCTTCTCTGAGCTACACGAACAGAATTCCTCACACTAGTTTTTGTGGGCTGCGAAACAAACTCCTGCCCGCTACCTAGCTCTCTCTTCTACTGCGATTTCAACACTTGCTATTTGTCCATCTTCTCTACGCGACTCAAAATGGAGATTAAGGTCAGAGGGATGGTTTCGTCACATCTCTGGACCCTTGGTGCCTACCACAAGGCCTGGTTAGTAAGGGCTTTCAAAAGGTCTGGTGAACTGAACGTTAAGAGGAAACCAAAGTCACACAGCGGGGAAGAAGGGGAACGGGAACAGGATTCCCATCTCCTATCAGCCACCAGTAAACCTAGAGCCCACCGCCTAGGAGTCAGGCAAACTGAAGCAGGGGGGGTAAATAAAACTCTTTAAACTACAAAGAACTCTGGGAAAGTTGGACAGTTCTAATTCCAGACTTCACACAATATGGAATGTATGCCATTTTTAAACAAAAAAATGAGAAGGCAGGACGCCTGGGTGGCTCAGTTGCTTAAGTGTCTGCCTTCAGCTCAGGTCATGATCCTGGGGTCCTGGGACTGAGCCCCGCATCAGGCTCCCAGCTCAGCAGGGAGCTGAGCTCTTCCTCTGCCTGCCGCCCACCCCCCTGCTTGTGCTCTCTCTCACAATAAATAAAATCTTTAAAAAAAAAAAAAAGCCAAGCATTAAAGCTATACTTAAAATAATATAGTTTTTACAGAAAAAATATACGATCCTCCAGATTATGGATTTTAAAGATTTATTTTGAGAGACAGAATGAGAGAGAGAGCGAGCGAGCATGAGAGGGGGGAGGGTCAGAGGGAGAAGCAGACTCCCTGCTGAGCAGGGAGCCTGATGTGGGACTCGATCCCGGGACTCCAGGATCATGACCTGAGCCGAAGGCAGTCGCTTAACCAACTGAGCCACCCAGGCGCCCCCAGATTATGGATTTTAAATGGTAATTTAATCTATCCATTAAAATAATTATTTAAATCAAATTCTTAGTGACTAATAGATACTGAAAACATCTTCTGGGACAACCTACTTTTTTATTAAGATGCTAACATACAATCTCATACAGCTGACCCCTGAAGAACACGAGGGTTGGGGCACCAACACCCTCTACCTCATGTAGTCAAAAATCCACACATAGGGGCACCTGGGTGGCTCAGTCGTTAAGCGTCTGCCTTCAGCTCAGGTCATGATCCCAGGATCCTGGGATCGAGCCCGGCATCAGGCTCCCTGCTCCGCGGGAAGCCTGCTTCTCCCTCTCCCACTCCCCCTGCTTGTGTTCCCTCTCGCTGTCTCTCTCTGTCAGATAAATAAATAAAATCTTAAAAAAAAAGAAAAAAATATCACTGAGTCTCACTACCCACAGTAGTTATGTTCTATAAGGCTACCACAAGCACTGAATTAGAGAATGTGGAACCACTGCTCCTCAGGGAAACACAGTGTTAGCAAGGCTCTGGTCACCTGTTTTCATTAACCGATCAATACACAACCATGATTTATGTGTGTTTCTGTTTAAAGACAATTTAATATATATTGTTGACTTATGAACACTGAACTCTCAGTCAACAGCACCATGACTCATGCCTTGAATGAGGCTTATCTGACAGTATATTCTCAGTAAGGCACATCGCAGACCTCCTGCACTTAGAGATACTGGTCAGTACTTCAGCACCACACTTGGGGACATTTTAAACAGCCAAATCACCAACAAAAGACACAAAGATGCAAAAAATGTGGCACTAAGTATGGACCACAAAAAGGACACATGTACAGTATAAGACCTCAAACAAGTAGACAGAAATTCGACCTCAGCTAGAAACGAGTTGGCTGCTAACTCACACTCCCCCCTCACCTGGGTGCATGAATGACCACAAGAGCACGGTGTTGATCTGGGGTTACAAATAAACTCAGTGAGTGGGTGGATTTGCAAATACGAAATCCAAACATAATGAGGATCAACGGATACTACGCTGTCACAGCCCAACCAGTACTAGATGCAACATGGCGTGCAGGGGTCCAGGTGCAGACGGCAAAATTCACCAATGGTTCACACAGTCACTACAGTTAGCTAACTTCCCAGTGGACATGGGTGTTTAAGGTGGCATAATTAATTGGCCAGTTTTTTTTTTTAAGATTTTATTTATTTGGGCGCCTGGGTGGCTCAGTCGGTTAAGCGACTGCCTTCGGCTCAGGTCATGATCCTGGAGTCCCGGGATCGAGTCCCGCATCGGGCTCCCTGCTCAG